TGTGCTTGTAAGTGTATGTGTGTGTTTGTAAGTGTGTGTATGTATGTGTATGTGTGTGTTTGTAAGTGTGTGTGTGTATGTGTGTGCTTGTAAGTGTATGTGTGTGTTTGTAAGTGTGTGTATGTATGTGTATGTGTGTGAGAGTGTGTCTCGCCTTACTCACAACCTCGTTCCCCAACACACAGATTCCACTTGCACCCAAGGACCACCCTGCGCCACACCCAGCTTACATCAGCGCCCGTGAGCGCGTGAGTGGCACGAGCTACAGCGCGGGAGCGCTTACGCAGCATGCAGTCAGCACCCGAATGCCCAATGTGGAGGCAGGCCCTTTGCTATATCGAAGTGGCGCTTGTGTTCAGTCCCAGGAAGCTTCCAGTAGGCCCCGATAGCCTGAGGCGCAGCACGAACGAGAACAACCCTTGGGCCTGAGGTGGTTGCATGCCCCCAACTGCCTTTGGCCTGTGTTTTGCCCAGTACCCGTATCCAGCCCAGGGCATGCTTTCCATACATTCACACAGGCGGCCCAGGACCTGGGTTCCCTCAACCAACTGACGACAGACTCATGCAACTTGCTACAGGCCCAATTTTGTGTGTGTGTGTGTCTTTTTTTTCTTTTTTTTATTTCCTTTTTATGGTTTTGATTTTTTTTTAAATACACAAAGTTCCAAAAAAATAAAATAAAAAGTAAATTGTTCTACATCTTAGAAAGATCTACAACCCGAATTTTTTTTATTTTATTTTTTTCGTTTTAGCCCTAAAAATATGTGTGAAACCCAAAACAAAAACACTTGTTTCATTTTAGTTTTTGTTTTTTCATTGTGTGTTTATGTTTTTGATTTTTTTTAAATAGATTTAAGCATAAAAAAATAAAAATAAAAATACAGGGTTGTAGGCCTAAAAAAAACCTACAACCCTTTTTTTTTTTTTTTTTTTTGGATAATTTTTAGCCAAGGAAAAAAATCATCCCGGACCCCGTTAATTCGCGTCCAACTCGCGTTTGAACAGGAGTTTAACGCGAATTCAACTCGCGTTGAATTTTCCAACGCGGAACCCGCGTTAAATTCAAAATCGGACACACACATGGGTTCCGGCGTTCTAGGAACGTCAGACCCCTAGGGGCGAAAAATTTGGACTGGATTTCGGCCCAAAAACTCAATTTCAATTTTGTTCAAAAAATATAGTATGTCCGTTTTGACGAAATGGTTTTTCAGTGACGTTGGAAATAGTTGAATAGTGTATTAGTTTTGAACGGCTTAGAGTTTTTTCTGAAAACGTGAAGTGTGCATGCTAACTCGAGTGAACCAGAGTGATACATAAGATGGGATCGAATTACCGCAACTATGGGTGGGATGGCCGTCGTGATCCGAGTAGTGATCGAGGTCGGGATTTCGGAGTCTATGAGGAAGGATGTGATCGTCGAGGTGAAGGACGAAGGGACCGTGTGATGGAACGAGGAAGTTCTAATCAAACAGGACATCATGATGCGCCGCACCGATTTACGCTTGGGGACACTATTGGAATCAGTGTCCTAAACTTGGGGGAGATGCCGGATCGAGGTACACGGGTCAGTGGGGTAGGTCGCTATCTCCACGATTGCGTACACGTTATCAGGAGCTGAGAGCAGCCTCCGAAGACCCTACAGTTAGGCGTTTAATTGAGGAACTTACTGCTTCTCTCGCAAGCATGAAGCAAGCGTTGGACGCTGAGACAACTGATAAAGAGGAAAATAAATAGCGGAAGATGGAGAAGCGGGAGGGTAAGAAGAGGGACGAGGAAGAAAGACAAGTGGCGGAAGAGGCACGTTTAGCGAAACTTAAGCGGGCTGCGAGGAAGGAAGGAAAACTTGGAAAGGAGGAGGAAGATCGACAAGTGATGAGGAAGGAAATGCTTATGGAGATCTGGCTCCGTATGGGCCATATTGATGAATCGCTTCAGCGTCATTACGAAAGGGATGCGAAGGAGCGAGGAAAAGGAAAACAAAAGGATATTGAACCTTCATTTGATGAGGAAGATGCATGATCTTATGAGAGCGACGTGGATACCCTCAGTCGAAAGACATAGTAGCTCGCCATCACAGAGAAGGGTAAACGAGGTGTCGATAAGCCGGTGGGGGACAACCCACCAATGGAAACACTTGCCAAGCGGACAGCGAAGAGAAGACTCTACCTCGGATGTCGTCACCCATCAATGAAGAAAACACCACTACGCAAGACTCCTTCGGCAGGAAGGAGGAAGATCCCGACTGCGCCGGGATCGGTCGGTAAGCAAAAGGTTGTAACGGACAACCTTCGTGATTTGGAAAACATGAACGTAGTGGAACTGAAGCGGATTTGCCTAGCAGAGGGTGTGGAATATGAAGGGAAAAAGATGCAAGTGATTTTAGCTATTACTGAGAAGCGTACACAGGATGCGTATGGAGAGGAGGAGGTGAGGGGTTTGGACGAGGGAGTTGGGGGAAATCAGACTGATGAGGCTGTGGACAAGGAACTGATGCGAAAAGCGAATCATGAACTAAGAGTAAGTTGTGGGTGTTATGTGGACGTTTGGTTGAATACCACCGTGAGGTAATCTTCGATGACTCTGTTGAACTGCTATATAGGCTAGTGTTGATTGCTCTAGCGCTGTGTAACCAGATCCATTGGATGCAGAAGTGCGTGGTATCTTGGGTGAACCTTTACAAACAATTTGGGATGGAATGTTTCACACAGGATATTGGCTGTGTTTACATAATTGCTTCACCGCTTTTTCCAACCCAGTATGTGGGGAAGACAGTAAGGATGGGAAGATGCGATGGAGGGAACACCTTTCAGGATGTAATCGAGGCCGGAAACAAAATCATCTTTATAAATGGTGGAGGTCTTTCGGTTACGAGTCTTACGTGTTGATCCCGATTGATCGAAGATCGCAAGCCGATTTGCTACTGTTGGAGGAAGTACACATCCGGCGTTGGTGCCCCACGTTGAACTCTATGGGGAGGATGAAGAAGAGTGTAAGGGGAGGTCGGAGAAGGAAAGGGCGACAAGAGAGGAAGAGGACTTTGCAGCAGCAAGTCACAACTCGGAAATCCGAATTGGTCACACTGGTTAGAGCCTCCTTGAGATGGGCAAAACAGCAAAAGGACCTTCAGAGGAGGCAGCCAATTGGCTGACCGAAGAACCCATCCTCAAAAATGCCTGCTTGCCCATTGGCTGACAGGAGAAGCCAGAAAATGCTTTTGCTGTGAATTACAGCAAAATGACCTTCAGAGGAGGCAGCCAATTGGCTGACCGAAGAATCCATCCTAAAAAATGCCTGCTTGCCCATTGGCTGACAGGAGAAGCCAGAAAATGCTTTTGCTTTGAATCTTTAATTCACAGAAAAAAGAGGTTTTAAAATCTGCAAAAACTGGGAAAACCATTCTTTTTAATGCGAAAACAGCATCGGCCTAGCTCAGTTGGTAAGGCACGCAAGTGGCATTCAGGAGGTCTTGGGTTCAATCCCCATTGGCTTTATGTACCTTCCTGGGCAAGCTTGGCGCCCGCCACCTAGAGATATGCCGTTGGTCCCCCCGAGTGGCATTGAACAGAGACTGCTGATGCTCATAGGGGGAGGGGACCGGAGGGGAGGCACAGTGACTGGCCCATCGAAGAAGCTCGGTCCTGATGCTACCGGCTGACCCCTGGCTGGTATCGCTCACCGGCTGTAGCAGGTATCGCACCTGCTGGTAGGTGCAACTCCTGGATGTTCGCTCGTTGGAGGCTTGAGCACGGATGTGGCTGCTACGGGGTTCCCCATAGTACTATAATGACAATAAAAAAGGCCTGAAAGACCGTCCTGTCCAGATTCGACAGGTAATTGAATTGGTTGGGCTTAAAAGAATTAGCCTTTTGAAAAAGGGAAAAAAAAAAACGCTGCTAGTGGGTCCCCACCCCTGGCTCCACTACTCTCCACATGCACAAAAGACAAAAATTAAGCCATTGTATCTTTGCGTGTTCTAGCCAAAGATTCACACTCTCGTTTTACACGCATCCAGAGCAGTGGAGCCAGGCCCTAATGTGCATAGATATAGAAAGGACTCGGTGTTTCGAAAGTCTGTGTGGGGGGGGGGGGGGGGGGGGGGGGGGGGGGGGGGGGGGGGGTTCTTTCGACGGGCAGCCTTTCGAAAAAAAGTCTGACACCTTTTGGAAAACGCCTTCATTCGGCTGTGTGGAGAGCCCCTTACTCAGGGCGTCGTTCGACATTCCTCGGGGACACGATTCCAAGGATTCGGTCGTCGTTCCACCTGTCCTCGGTGATGAAATCGGAAATGAAAATGTGAAAACACTCCGAGGACAAATCCTTTGGCTCCGAGGATTTCCCAGCCAAATCGTCCTCGGCTCCAAAGGACCTCGCGAGGTCCTTTGGGGCCCGAGGATCCGTGTTTCATGGAGAGGCGAGGGCATGCACATAGAGAGACGACACAACCGAGAATTCTGATCGTGGCGGCACCCTATTGGCTGAAAGCCTGAAGCACAACTTTTTTTCTTTTTTTCTCCCTTTTATTTTTCTGACATTGCTCCTAGGATGAGTCCTAAAACCGATGCTCCGAGGATGAGTGGAACGAAGACGACAAAAAACCTAAACTTTTCCGAGGATTCATCCTCGGAGCCCGAGGATGCCCCGAGGAGTGTCGAACGACGCCCTCAGTATCAGTAATTTAGTAGTAGGGCTTTTTCTTTTAGATGGCTCTGTTGCTGTGCCAACGTGGGCACTCAACCCATCATAAAATTCAAAAGAAAAAGAAATAAAGGAGACCGGTGGAGAGCATCTATATCTACATTCCACCTGCCATCTGAACGCACACACGCTTTCTTGTCAAGTGAACCTGGTCGTACGTGTGCCTTGAGACATTCTGGAAAGAGCAAACTTGCATCAGACTGCGTCAGTATGTGCATCCTGGCATGCGGTTCTGTCATGCCACCATCATCATACGAAAATGGGACGTCAGCTTGTCGCCAGTTTCTTTGTTTTGGAAATCACATGTGTTGATTCCTTGTCTCTGGCCCCGTCCAGGCCCCCATCTTGCTAGGACAGGTCCCTTACGAAAGCCCGACACACCTCCCCCCCTGTTCTCTTTTCCGTCCTCCTGTCCAGAACCCCCTTGGCATCCGCCATCAGGAGATAATCTGGGAGCGACAGATGGGCAGCCCAGGACTCCTGTCGCATTGGCTGTCTGCTGCGCATCTTTCCTCTTTTTTCTTTTTTTTTTCATCTCTACTCTTTTGGGGCCTCAACCTCCACAATCTTTTTGGGGGTCTCATGTGGAGCCTGATGGCAAAGTTGGGGAAGGGGTTACAATTTCCTGTGGCCGGGTCCAGCCAACCTCCATTGAATTTGGTTTGCTGACGCGTGTTATGCATTTGATGCTCCACTACCCAGGACACCGCTGATCCTGCCTGAATGTCAATATACACAATCAAAATTTTATTCTAGAAAATTCATTATAGAATAAATACACATATTCTAAAAAATGATTCAATATATTCTGTATTATCCCAGAATCTAGTTTAGAGTAAAAATATAGGGGAAACTGCTCCTGGGTCACCTTTTTAGTTTGAAATAGGCAAGAAAAGACAAAGTGGCGTGGATGTCATCAAACCGTATCTGAGCAGGGCACATCAATCCTGCCCTGTGGCTCAGTGGTTAGGGCACCGGTTGGAAATACACATTGTGGTCTGAGGTTGCGGGCTCAAAACTCCGCACCCACGCGCAGGGACACCTGCGGGCGTTTACATAGCGGACAGCCATTTGCACACCCCCCTTGTGCTGACACATGGTAAGGAATACTGAGGATTACAGGTTTAGTCCATGGTTGTTGTATGCTGGGTCTAGGCTATGTGCAGCGGGCCTCTATCTGCCCTGGCCTTCAACCAGGACCTGTCAGGCTATTTTTCCTGTCTGGCCTGTGGGACCAGGCCGTGTGCTCACTCAGTCCAGTCCCGTCCTGCCCAGTACCACTGTCTGTACCAGTCCAGTCCAGTCCAGTCCAGTCAGTCCACTGGGGGTATACCCCAGCTGCGGTCTGTTTCGGTTCATTCTTCATTTGCACAGTTTGGAGTATGTGCGTGTTGAGTCGGCGTTGGAGCTGCGCTGTCCCTTCCAGCTCCATCTCCAACTCCCGCGCATTCTCATCCCTTCGTCTTGATCCTGGCGGTCACACTGGTATTAGAGCGGGAACCAACCTGTGACCCCCCAACCCCCCACCTGACGGGCGCCGACATGGCAGGCTGCTGCTTGACCCCCTCCTCCCCCTCCCCCCCCTGCGTCGAAGAAGCGCGTTCCCTCCTTTGCCCAACCCCCTCCCTCTCCCGCCCCCCGTGATGAAAACAGGACCCCTGCTGGGTTTCGCCCTTCGTCAAGGTCCGTGGACATGTTTCCTCCGCTGCCAGGCTTTTTGCCCCCCACCCCTCCCCCTCGCTGACGGGCACGGAGGTAATAGCCGACAGCAGGATTTTGGGGCGTTTTGCGGCGCACAAGTGCGGATAAAGGTGCAGTGCCCCACGCGCGGACATGTGGCGAAAAGGAGGCTGCCGCACGCACCACGTGCCCACGCTTCTGGCCCGCCCAGCTCCCGAATTATATTATATCAATATCCGGGAGTGCGGCTGCCAAAACTTGAAACTGGGCAGCTGCTGGCCATGCGTTTGCATAGCCAATGCTTTAACACACTGGCTGAAATCTACAATTGTCCTAGGTGTGTGGCACGTTGGTGTTAAAGAAGTGCCACGTCAGCTATTTACCTCGCCCC